ATTTTTTGAACCACTCGAAACACTGTGTTTTACCAAGAGCATGTTCACCGTAAGCTTCGACAAGCTTTCGATACGATTCTGCAGCAGTTTTCTTCAAATGATAACAAAAAACCAATGCTGTGCGCAAATCGTAGTTCGTAGGCACAAAACTCGACAAGTTTAAGGTTATACAAAAATATACCGGTGTATAAAACTTGGGTTGTGGTGTGTTGAAAATTTTCGTCAGCTGTTAGAGGTAGATGATGGCGTTGCAGAAGCGGTCTTACGGTCCCTAAACTGATGGCTAGCACCATCTATAGGGCAATTCCAGTTTCATACTTCTACACCTGGTATATAAGTATATATATACAAGTATATACGAGGTCTGTTCAAAAAGTATTGCGAATTTTGAATTTCCGCGNTTCGATACGATTCTGCAGCAGTTTTCTTCAAATGATAACAAAAAACCAATGCTGTGCGCAAATCGTAGTTCGTAGGCACAAAACTCGACATGTTTAAGGTTATAGAAAAATATACCAGTGTATAGAACTTGGGTTGTTATGTGTTGAAAATCTTCGTCAGCTGTTAGAGGTAGATGATGGCGTTGCAGAAGCGGTCTTACGGTCCCTAAACTGATGGCTAGCACCATCTATAGGGCAATTCCAGTTTCATACTTCTACACCTGGTATATAAGTATATATNAGATGATGGCGTTGCAGAAACGGTCTTACGGTCCCCAAACTGATGGCTAGCACCATCTATAGGGCAATTCCGGTTTCATACTTCTACACTTGGTATACAAGTATATACGAGGTCTGTTCAAAAAGTGTTGCGAATTTTGAATTTCCGCGGGTTACGTATATTCGATTTTCGATTTTTTTTGGCGTTATGTTGGTACTCATGTCCCTCACTTATGCCGACAAGTTCGGCCATTTTAAATATTCAGTTTATCTTTGACAGCTGTTTTGCTTGGACGTGTTTTGGCTCGTCTTCGATTTTTGTCTATTCCAAAAAATGGATCAAAATATCTAACAAAATTAAGTGCGCGGACGCATTCCGAATGTTTACTGTGGCATGTGGTGAAACTGCATTGGCCTGAAGCAACGTTTATCGGTGGTACAAAATGTTCTCAGAGTGCCGAGAAGATGTGAACGACAAAGAGCGTGCTGGACGCCCGAGCACGTTAACAACAGACGGAAACATTAATGAAGTGAAGAAAATAGTATTGGCCAATCGTCGAATCACCGTTAAAGAAGTTGCTGAGGACCTAAACATATCGATTGGCTCGTGCTATTCGATTTTTACTAATGATTTGTGCATGAGACGGGTCGCCGCAAAATTTGTACCAACGCCCCTGCTCACACATCGTTGCTTGTGCGCGAACTTTTGGCCAAAAACAACACACTAATGATGCCGCAGCCACCGTATTCCCCAGACCTGGCCCCCTGTGATTTTCTCTTGTTCTCGAAACTGAAGAGGCACATGAAAGGACGACGCTACGATTGAGGAGATAAAGACGATGTCGAAGGAGGAACTGAACAAGATCACAAAAAGTGATTTTTTGAAGTGTTTCAAGAATTGAAAAAACGTTGGCACAAGTGTATAATATCTGATGGGGATTACTTTGAAGAAGACAAAATAGATAGTCATGAATATGTAAATAATTTTTGAAAAAACAAAATTCGCGATACTTTTTGAACAGACCTCATTCATCGCATCCGGTCATACTATACGTCGATTTAAAGGTGACATTACGCTTCAAAAAAAGTTCTGTGACAGTTTTTTGTTTGGTCAAGGCAGTTGTGTGTTACAGCGTTTCAAAATGGGGGTAAAAAAAGAGAAAATTCGTTACATTCTTCAGTACCACTACGACCAAGCTGAAAAAGCGCAGCAGGCGGCTAAAAAAATTTGTGCTATTTATGGACCCAATGCAGTATCGAATGCAACAGCAAAGCGGTGGTTCCAACGATTCCGTTCTGGTAATATGGACGTCGAAGATGAGGCACGCTCTGGTAGGCCAATCGTCGAAATTGTCGTTAAAATCATAGAAGTCGTCNGCATGTGAGCACTTATTCCATTGCCCAGGAACTGAAGATTAGCCAGAAAACCGTTTGGAACCATTTGCATAAGGCTGGTCTCAAGAAGAAGCTCGATGTATGGGTGCCACACGAATTGACGCATAAGTACCTTTTGGACCGAATTGATGCCTGCGATTCTTTGCTGAAACGTAACAAAATAGACCCATTTTTGAAGCGGATGGTAACTGGGGATGAAAAATTGGTCACATACGAAAACAACAGCCGAAAATATCGTGGTCCAATCGCGGTGAGCCGGCCCAAACGACCGCCAAACCCGGATTAACGGTTTTGCTGTGAGTTTGGTGGGATTGGAAAGGAATCATCCACTATGAGCTGCTCCCATTGGGCCAAACACTCAATTCGGACCTCTATTGTCAACAACTGACCAGATTGAAATAGGCGATCTACCAGAAGCGGCCAGAATTGGCCAATAGAAAAAGTGTTGTGTTCCATCAAGACAACACCAGGCTGCACACATCACTAACGACGCGCCAGAAGCTCCGAGAGCTTGGATGAGAGGTTCTATTGCAGCCACCGTATAGTCCAGATTTGGCACCATGCGATTATCACCTTTTCAAGCATTTGCAAAATTTTCTTGATAGTACAAAACTGGCCTCAAGAGAGGCTTGTGAAAATGAGCTGGTCAAGTTTTTTACCAATAGGAACGAGGACATTTTCAATCGCGGAATTATAAAATTGCCTTCAAAATGGACAAAAGTTATCGAACACAACGGCGCATATTTGATTGAAATCGGATAATCCTAACTATGTTAATTTCATCTTTGAATAAAGCGAGAAAAAGCTCAGAACTATTTACTTCACCTAATATTTCCGTTCAAGAAAAGAGTAAGTAAGCCTGTT